GCAAGCTGAGCCTGTGGAGGAGCACCAAAGCCGGAGCCCATCGCCATAGACCCCATTGACACCTGCCATGTTCATTGTTCTGCAGGTCGGGACACATTCTGCAGACAGACTTGCCGGTGCGACACTTTGCGGTGGTCCATATGTTGCTGGAGCACCCATGGTAGTCACCTGCCATGTGCATAGCCCAGCTGTGAAAAAGGTAATAGGGACAATTGTACTTCTATGAAGAAAGCCAGCGAGAGAAACTGGAGGCCCAGTCCTCAGTTATGCAACAATCTGGACTGTGGGTGCCCTCATCAAATGGCAGAACCCATCTTGCCAAATTGAGGCCCGCAGCATTGACGCATAGGGGCTGCCACCCATTGAGGGCACAAGGCCACTTTGCTGGGCCTCTGGGCAAGTCGCATTATGTGTTTTTCTCAAAAGAGCTTTCAACCTGGCCTGCGCAAACTCCTCACGTGAGAGAGCGCCACTGCCATCTTTGTCAAGCCTGCTGAACCAATCTCCACCTGTGACCTTGTCCCAGGAATCAGGCTTCCAATTCCCTGCCACTGAGGCCAACTTCAAAGCTTCCGACAGCAGGTTGCTGCACTTGCTTGGAGCTACCATACCTGATCACAGCGCTCTGTATGCCGTTGGACGCACACAAAAACAGAAAAGGTGCCAAGAAAGATTCTGAGACTCTTTGGCGCACATGACAGACGTTCCCTGCCAGGTGGACCGGTATATAGAATAGCAACACGAAAGCCAGTCTCACACAAACATGTTCCATTGCAATGAATATCAAACATCACTCGTGCTTGCTCGCGTTCAACATGGCGGGAGCTCAGGTGCGCTTTCTCCGGGCGTGGAGCGCACTGGAGGAAGCTCATAAGTTCTGGAGATGACTGGTGCACTCAGCACGGCCAGGGCACTTTCAGCAGCGGCCGGACTAGGCCCAGAATTTTGTACTGGCTTGGTGGGTGTCACATCTGACTGAGGAAGAACCACACCATCCGCGTTGGTCGGCACTGACACCTGTCAAACACAAAGGCACAAATGCACAAACCGCATCAGATTCACCTTAATGGCTATTAGATTGGAGGCCATCGCTTCATCGCTATTGCATTGATAGAGACAAGAACTAGCCCTGATCAAAGCACCTGTTTTACAACCTCCAGCGTCTGTGTGTAGGGCTTGGGCACCGGGATCTCTCGTTCGATATTTTGCTTGACCTCAAGATCACCAATGGCAGGCGCCTTCTGTTAGTCTCTTTCTCCTTGGCCCGCCGCCAAGTGTGGGACTGGTCGATAAACTGGTTGCTCAACCTCCTGGACCACCTTTTTCGGGACCTCACAGAGCAAGTCACGACAGATCACCCTGTAAGGACGCTACTGGGGGCTCCTGGCATCGCTACTAGGAGCAAGCCTTACTACTAGGAGCAAGGACGCTACTAGGGGCTCCATCAGATCACGCTGCACCCAGCCTGGATAATTCGTTCGATGGGGATCTCGCGCACTTCAATGCGCGGCACT